CCCGCTCGGGCGCGTCGGGCCTCCGCCGCGCCTTCAGCTGGCTGCGGGGCAAGCGGCGCAAGAAGAAGGCGGCGGGGAGCGAGGGCACCGAGCCCGCTGCCCTCCGCGCGAAGAAGGCGGACGACAGGACCAAGAAGGCCAAGGGCAAAGGCCGAGGTGAGGCGGCCGGACACCTGGGCTGGGCTGAGCGCCGGGCGCGCTGGGGCGGCCGGGTGGCTCCACCCGGGTCAAGGTGTGCTGGAGGGGCTGAGCCCCAAGCCCTGGTGCGGCGGGAGCGAAGAGTCCTAAGCTCCGCCCGAGCACCCCTCCCTTGCGCCCCCATCCCAGGCTATGCCCGCGCCACTCAGAGGGGAGGAGACCCCCCAGCCGCCGTGGCAGGGACCCCTGGGCTTCGGCAGGAAGTGCTGGCAGCCTGGCGTTTCCCCTCCCGCAGTCAGACTCACGCAGGTTCTGCCCTGTGCTGAGTCAGGGGGTCAGAGACTTGACTCTGGACTGGGGCCAGTGGGAGAGGCAGGTGGCCTTGGTTCTCTGGTGAGGGTCCTTCTGGGCCCAGAAGGCCAGTTGCGCTCAAAAGGAGTTTCCGCCCTCAGGTGGGCAGTTGGTCTGGGTTTGCAACTCTACAAAGGACTCATCTGGGGGCTTAGCATGCCTTAGGTGGACGGTGTTAGCTTTTCCCACCTGATCATAACCCCCCCACACACACCTGGGCCAAACCGCAAACATCCACCTCCTGGGGTGGTGAGCTCACCATCCTCACTGTCTGGAGAACCAGCAGCCCCTCCCCATCTCTCCTTCCTCCAGCCCTGCCAGGTGCTTGCCGGGGTTGAAGGGGTGCTTACAGATGGGGAAACTGAGGCCCAAGCTAATTGGGAAGGCTGTACCTGGGCTGGGGCGGGTACTTAAAATACAGACCTCTTTCCTAATCTTTCTGAGTTTGAGCCGCTGATCACCATCTCTGGCCTGAACGGTGGGGAGCCTGCCAGGAGGGCAAGCTGACCAGGCTCATCCCTACTACTTTACTCTCAGCCACTTGCTTGGTGTTTTGCTCTTTCCGTTTTTTGTCTTCTGTTGGGTGGGGAGGGCTTCAGTTTCTGCAGGAGGGTGGGGCTTACAGCTTTGGAAGTCTACTTTTCCTTTGCTCCTTCTGCAGTGCTGGAGGTGAGGAAATGGTGGGGTGTGTGGGCTCATCCCATGCCTCCTGTGTTTACTCTTCTGGTGTCCTTTAGCCACGTCCTCTGGAGGAAAAGTAGAAGGAACACTTTAGGGGTCAGGAAGAGGGTGGAAAGCCTGTTGTGCGATTGCATCCAGCATGATCTTCCTTTTGGATAAGGGCCCTGCTCCCCTTGCAGGCCCAGCCACAAAGAGAAGCCCGGGTGCCGGGGCTGGGGTGGTTGGGCCAAGCCCCGAGGGGAGGTTTGGGTGAGGAGTGTTTGCGAACGCCCTGCAGCTCTCCCATGGGGGGCTGGGAGCCCTGAGTCCCAGGGCTGCTCCACTGAGGTTCAGGGTGCAGTTATCCTCATCTCGCTCAGGAGGGCATGGGTCAGAACTGCAATAGGGTGGATTGTGGTCAGACTATCGAGACTAGTAGGAAGCAGTTTAGTTTGCTGGTAGTGTACTCGGGCCTGTGAACCGTTCTTCCCAGGGTTCCTACCTGGAGGTAGGGGCTGAAGATAGTATAAGCCAGTAGGTTCCTCCTCTGACAGCCTGGGCTTTGGCTCCTTGAGTCGATGGCCAGGTCTCCTTTGCTTTGTGTTTGGTATTGGGTGGCACTAGGCTTTCTGGGCAGCAGGTCAGCCTGATTGCGCCCACGTGCATGGGCAGCACCTCTGCTCCTAGCTATTGTTTTCCCAGGTCTGGAGGTGGCCCCAGGTATAGCTCAGGGAAGTCCGGTTCCTTTTTGCTCCAGCCTCCTATTATTGTAATTGTTTCCTTGTCACCTGCCTGGACCCGCTTTTCTGTTTATTAGGAGAAACAAAAATCTGATCTCTTTAATCTCCACTGGGACTACTGGCCAGGAAGCGGGAGCCCAAGGAAGGATTAACTCTTTCAGAGAGAATGTTCAGAATGGAGATTGGGGAGATGGAGAAGGCACACACAGAGAATTCCTGGGAGGTCAGAGGCCTTTGCTGGGAAAATTATTATCTCTTCCATTCCAGTCTTTGAACCAAAGACCTAAGAAATGCAGGTCTTATCCCCTGTCATCTGACTCTCCTACTAGGAAATGGAAACTCAGCTTGTAATGGAATTTTGACTCTAGTCTTTCACGAGTTCCCTGCTTTCCTCACTGCCCTGCACAGATTTAGCAGAAGAGAGGAAATCTGACATTTATTATTCTGAATGTGTCAGGAGCCCCTGTGTTCATTATCTCATGAGATCCCGATTGCAGTTGAAAAAAACTGAGGCTCAGGAACACTGCATGATTGATTTGACCAAACTCAGATCTACACTCAAGTCACCTGACTCCCAAAACTGGTACAGTACTATTTTCATGACTCTCTGAAGGATACAGAATGGGAGTGAGCCTTAAAGATCTTCTGATCCAGCTCATTCTGCAGATGGGAAGTGGCCCAAGAGAGAAGTGAAGGCATTTAATAGAGTCAGGGAGGGTATCAGCCGGGTAAATGAAAATTTATATTTTGGCTTAGCTTCTATAAAGCCCCGTGACAGTGGATAAGCAACTTCCCTATGGGCTCACAGATTGCATGACTATCTCACAGGGAAGGCGAGGACTTTCTCACACAGGTGACTGAGCCTCTGAACATAAGTCTATGACCTTTCTCTCTCCAAGATTCTCGAAGAATGAAAAGTATTTGAAAGAGAAGTCACTCTAGAAACGCAAAGCATTGCCATTCTTGTGTTTATGTTTTGTCATCCCTCCAAACCTCACTTCCCCTAGCTGAAAAACAAGGATAATAAGCCTTGGCTTTACAGGGGCGTTCCAAGGACCCAGCTAGGTAGCAGACATGAAAGTGCTTTGTGAACTGAGGAGCGTGGTCCGATTGCTGTTGTGAAACTGAGCACTTGGGCATTAGCGGAGTTCATCCTGATCCATGGTTACAGCTCTTTGACCCATACTGCTGGTTATTACTGAGGAGATTCATAGAAGGTGGAGTCTTATCTTTGCCTGAGGACTCATGTTAAAAAAAAAAGTTAAATAAAACAAAACACCTCCCCCCCAATCTTTATTTTCCAGAAATATCACCTGGACTCTAGACAAGTGTGTGGGGAGGAAGTGTTTCTGGCGTTTCTGGGATTACTGCCAGGGCTGGGGCCCAGCAAGTAATCAGGGGAGACTTTCTGGAGGCAGTGAGCTGGGTGTGGAAGGGGAGGAGAAGTAGCAGGAAGGCTGCTTTTTGCCAGGATGATAGGTCACCTTCTGTTGTCCTCATACCGGCCTGGGAAGTGAGCAGTTATCCCTGTGTACAGGGGATAAAAAGGCCCTCTTAGAAGATGCAAGCAACTTGCGCAAGGTCACCAGGCTTCATGCTTTATGCCCCTGTGCAGTGTCAGTGTCAGGCCTTGTTCAAAGTGATGAGAATACCCGAGGACAGGACAGCTGAAGTCCCTGCCCCTGTGGTAGTGATGTCATAGCATGGCAATGACAGAGCCACTCCATCTGTCCCCAAAGGCTACACTGCCCAAACAAAATAACAAGCTGTTGGGTGACTTTCTGACTGTGAAAGCACTAACCACTGTGGAGACTTGGACAGGACCGCCATTGGGGAAAGAGACGGCGCCACACCTAGGACTTCTCTCAGGCAGTGGCTGAAGGCAGAAGTGGAGATAGCTCTGCTTTTGAGAATTCAGGAGCCACCCTGCCAGGCCCAGTAGACATCAGCCCATGAACTCACCCTGGACCCCATGTTCCCTCTGGCCAACTGCCAAGGGAGGACTGTCCTTGGCATGGGGCTGCAAAAGATCAGAGTTTGAGATCTGCTCTGCTGTATGGCCTCGAGCAAGCCTGCCTCACTGTGAGCCAGCCATGCTGTGTCTTGCTAAAGATGAAGTTTAATGTTGGTGGTTCTCAGAGCCTGTGCATTTCAGAGTGGCTTGAAGGTGCAAACTTAGGGCTGAGGGATGAGCACGGGCATGGAGCTGTGTCCAGGAAGGGAGAGCCTCCCTTTGGACAGCCACACAAGAGATGGAGACCCAGTGGCCTGGACATCACAGGAGGGTGTGTGCTCCATGCATTTTTACATTCCTTGTCATTGCATGTGCTGCTCACCTGCTTAGCATGTGCTTCCTTCCTTTCACTTTTCAATCAGTAAATTCCTAGCCAGGTATGGTGGTGCATACCTGTAATCCCAGCACTTGGCAGGCTGAGGCAGGAGGATTACCATGAGTTTGAGGCCAGCCTGAGCTGCCTACTGAGTTCAAGGGCAGTCTGAACTACATAGCAAGACCTTGTCTCAAAAAAAAAAAATAACAGTCAATTCAGTGAACTACTATTCATCTCTCAAGGCCCAGTTCTAGTAGCCTCATCTTTATGATACTCTCAGGGAAAACTGCTGCCCTCAGATTCTACAGCAGGGTGTTTAAGAGATTTGGAGTTTTGCAGTGTTTGATTTTATGGCTATCTTCTTCTTAGGTCGAGGCATCTCAGTCTTCTTAGCTTGGGGCCTGGGCCAGTGTACATAATGGCAGCAGGGTTCCTTCTGCTATGTGATACATCAGTAGAGATGGGTCTGGGGATCTCAACAAGAATGTGACAAGGTGGCTGCTCTGCCTACCTCCATCCAGCTGCTGTTAAAGGATGGACATTGTCTGCCTTGGGTCCGGAAAGGAGGAGCCTCATTTATTTCACAAATATTAAGTATCTTCTATGTCCTGGGCACTGTCCTGGGGATAAACAAGAGAGTCAAGGTCTCAGTCCTCCTGAACCAACCTCACAATTTGAGCATGGTAACCAGATGCTTCAAAAGTAATTAAGGGCTAGAAAGTGACCAGAGAGGAAGCACAGGGACCTCTGAGGGAGATCAGGGATGGCTTCCTGAGGCAGTGACATTTGAGCTAGAATTCTAGGACGAGGGAAAGGTGGGGTCAGGGGCTTGAAGCACAGGAATCAGGCAGGATGCTTGCTGGGGGGTGGGGCCAGCTGGTTCTTGGGGTTCAGTGGAGCACAGGGGTGGCCGTACTTCACTATTTGGATGCCCTGA